GAGAGAGAGAGAGAGAGAGAGAGAGAGAGAGAATTTTTTTAATATTTATTTTTTAGTTCTCGGCGGACACAACATCTTTGTTGGTATGTGGTGCTGAGGACTGAACCCGGGCTGCAGGCATGCCAGGCGAGCGCGCTACCGCTTGAGCCACATCCCCAGGCCCCTAATTTGTTTTTTTATTAGAACCTATTACATTTAAAATGTGAAGCCAAATGTGATGGTACACACCTGTAATCACTGACTCAGGAAGCTGAGGTAGGAGGAGAGCCTGGGGATGTAGGTCTGTGGTAAAGTGTTCCCCTAACCCCCATCCTGTCCCCAGTACCAAAAAAAGTCCAAGTGATAAAATTATGAGTGCTATTCACTTGTTAAAACATTTTCTCTTAATATTTTTTAAAATATATTTTTAAATTGGGTTTGGACTCAATGCCTTTGTTTTTATGTGGTGCTAGGATCGAATCCAGTGCCTCACACTTGCAAGGCAAGTGCTCTACCACTGAGCTACAACTCCAGTCCAACTTTCCCTTAATATTTAAAGAGCATACTCATTATAGGAACAGGTGTTGATTTTAACTCACCACTGTACCCCTAATGCCCAAGGCACTACTCAATAATTGGCATCAATGGATGTTCAAAGGAAATGAATTGACTAAATAAAGAAAAGTTATTTCTGTGTAAAAGAAAATTCTGTTATAGTTCATATTTCCATGATGATTCCTCATTTGCTGTGACAAAATTATAAGCTAACAAACTGGATCACTTACGTGATTCAGAAAATACTGCACAATTATCTCATGGCCAGCAGCAGCTGCTTCCATCAAAGGAGTAAATCCATAGACTGGCTCCCTGCAAGATGGCACAGGCAGGTGATTAGTAGAAATATGTTCTCCACGCAGAAGTGCCCCTGCCAAAGACAAAAGCAAGCCAAGACCCCTGATTGTAGAAAGCGGTACATGCTAATGCCCATGCGGCCTCTTGTGCTCACTGGCACACATGCACGCACTTTCTCAAGAATAGGTTGGCTAGGTATGATAGTGCACACCTGTAATCCCAGCAACTCGAGGGGCTGAGGCAGGAAGATCACAAGTTCAAGGTCAGCTTCAGCAACTTAGTGAGGCCCTAAGCAACTTGGTGAGACCCTGTCTCAAAAAAAAAAAAAAAAGGCCTGGCATAGTGGTGCATGCTTGTAATGGCAGCAGCTCCGGAAGCTGAGGCAGGAGGATCACAAGTTCGAAGCTAGCCTCAGCAATATAGTGAGGCACTAAGCAACTTAGTGAGACCATATCCCTAAATAAATATAAAAAAGGGCTAGGATGTGGCTCAGTGGTTAAGCACCCCTGGGTTTAATCCCAGTACCCATAGCCCAAAAAACTAATGAGGTGAGATTAAAGAGTGATACATGAGTTGCATTAACTCTCCTGAGTCTATTGCCTCTCAACTTCCCTCCTCTAAGGCTGTTCTCACTCACTTCTCTTAAACCCCAGCTTTAATCATGGTCACCAAGCAGCTCCTGCTCTTCATTCCTTAGAAAGCTGTCTCCCTCTCATCCACCCAAATCCCATCCTCTGAACTCAGAATCCTCATGAGCTGCTCAAAAGGCTCCCCTACTAATAACCCACCTGCCCTCCCTGAGCTTAGCACCCTCTGGCAGCTCATTTCGTGTGTGTCCTCATTCTTCTCCCCACACTTCCTGCTGCTCTAGAAGCCAGGAGACATGCTAAATGCTGCTTCTCATCCATTCTAACACACATTTTTTTTTTCACCCTTTAACATCTCTTAAGTCAGAATGTGTTTTAAAATCAATAGGCAAGTTGAATTTTAGCGCAGTTTTTATTTATTAGAGTCATTAGAAATTATGGTATGTCTTAAAATAGATGACAGGGAATGGGTCCTCCTCCTCAGCTCCTGCACTGCTGGGGCCATAGGTGTACCGGCTAAGAATCAGCTTTTAATTTTTGCCATTTAAATTCCACTCACAGCTGGACTTGGTGGCCCACACCTGTCATCCCAGGAACTTGGGAGATTGAGGCAGGAGGATTGTCAAATTCAAGGTCAGCTTGGATAACTTGATGCAAACTTGTCTAAAACATAAAGGGCTGGGAGTGTAACTCAGTGGTAGAGTGCTTGCCTAGCATGCACAAAGCCCAGGGTTTAATCCCCTGTACCCACAAAAATGAAAAAATGAAAAAGAGGTCAGGAGCCTGGAAAGATGCACCAAATGTCCCAATAAGTAAGTGTAAAGTCACATACATGGGTAGGCCCACTCATTCTGCCCCTTCATCTTAACCTCTCACACCAAGGCAGGGTGGCCCTGATGTCTGGTTAGCTGCCTCTATGGCTGCTCTCCTTAGAGTGAGGAGACCTGCCTACTCCTATATTCAGTTAAGATGCCATAATCACCTTACGTTGGCGTTTGCTCCGCTATCCAGGAGGAACTTGACCATCTGCTGGTGCCCGGCACTGGTACAGTGGAAAAGCGCAGTCCAACCATGAATATCTTTCATCTCCAGCTCTGCACCTTGCTTTGAGAGAACAGAGAGCAGGTTATGGCCCATTTCCCCATGTGGGTGGGCGGACAGCAGCACCCTTCAGGCTGTCAGCTGAAAGAACTGAAAGTGATTACACACGCGTGCACGCACACTGTGGCCTGCAGTGCCTCACGTCCTGCCAGGGCGGCCTGGGAACCCCTCGGGTTTCTGGGCCTTTGCCCCCTCGTAGCTCACCTGGAGGAGAAAGTAGGCGATGCTCTCGTTGCCACAGCTGGAGGCCAGCATCAGTGGAGTCTGCCCTTCTGGGGTCGGCACATTCACACTCACCCCTGCCTCGAGCAGCAGGTGCACGATGGTATCGTGTCCAATGTAGGAGGCATACATCAGCGGGGTCCAGCCACCACCATTCTTCTTATTCAAATCTAACTCTCTCCTAAACAAACGCAAGATACGCTAGACACGCCCAGCCGTCTCACATTTGGGGTTCACCAGAGCCAGGGGCCAGGCCAGGCCAGGCCAGATCAGCTGACATTGCAGAAGCAGAAGTCCTCTACCCCCAGACATCCCCAGGGTTGGGGAAGACAGGCAGGGAAATGTTCCCTGTGGCTTGTATGCACACCGTTACAAAGTCCTCAGTAACTCTCTTCCTTCTCTAACTTCATATTCTCACCTGCCCCTCCTCCTAGCCCAAGACCAACAATTACCTTCTTTCCTACCACCAGCTAGACAGATGGTACTTAACCAAGGGACATTCACCAAGGTCAAGAGCCATTTTTGGAATCATGACTGGGGAAGGAACTACTGACATGTAGAAGGTGGAGGCCAGGAGGCTGCTAACACCCTGTGGTGTACAGGAAACTCTAAGGCAAAGACAAGAGGCCTGGTTTGTCAATACAGTTGAAGCTGAGATACCCTGATCACCTATCAGCAAATCAATAACCAGTCTGTTAGTGCAGAGCTGGGTGCACACAGGGTTTGAGGAAAAAGGGACTTAGACAACAAATAAGAAGCACTGCACTTCAACCTACAGAAAAAAATATGTGAAAAATCTGTGACCAGAAAATCCTATTTTTCCGCTAATATTCTGAAAATGCATTTCCCTATAAGAGAAATAGTGTGGACTTTACCAGTCCAGACTTTATGTGAGTGACATTTTAAAATACCACCCACTCCCAGTAGCAAGGTGTACCATTAACACGCCATGGGCCTTTCCCCTTCCACAATTTTTTTTCTCTTCGTGGTGCTGGTGATAGAACCCAGGGCCTTGCACATGCTAGGCAAGCCTCCACCTCTGAGCTACATCCCAGTTACCTCCATTTTTCTTCATTTTTGAGACAGGGTGTTGCTAAATTGCCCTGGCTCTACTGGAACTTGCAAACCTCCTGCCTCAGTCTCCTGAACAGCTGGGAGAACAGGTGTGCACCACTGCATCCAGCCTCTCCCACAACTGTTGCCTGTAGTGACAGGAACAACTCACAACCAGTCCACATGATGTGTGATCCACACACTAAGCTGCACCAGGTGATTATTTCCCACTCACTAGCAACAACTACTGACTGAGGGACATGCCCAGGCAGACATTCTAGAAGGTCCTGACTGCAGGAATGCAGTGGCAACCCTGCAGGAGAGCCCCGTGGAGCTGCTCTGGGGTGAGACTTGAGTGACCTTTCCAGCCAAGCACTGCCTCCTTTTGGAAGGGGCAATTCCATGGCAAGGGATGAAGCTGCTCCCACAAAGCATCTCATTCCTCCCCTTTGGCTCCTGTTCTCCCTCCAGGGAGAACTGTAGGCCCCAGTCAGGGCATATGGTGAGCAAGCCCCCCTCTCAGCTTGTGTGAAGCACCAGCCAACACAAACAATGTCCCACCACTGGCCCTCCTCTCCTCTGTGGAGTCATTCTGGAACATACTTTTAAACAGGACACCCAAAGGTTTAAGTGCTTGAGATTTCCAAAGGAGAATTATAACAGGGATCTTTGTGACCCTGTGAGGGGACATGCGGACCACATACCCAACTACCTATCCCTAAGGCCACTCAGTAGAGGAGTACTACAAATCCTTTGGCCAGCAATTTCTGAGTGATGGCTATGATTTGGGAGCATAAGACCTAGGCCATACAAGGCTCTGCTCTGACTCACCAGGAACTAGAGAAGGCATGGGAGGTATGGACAGACATTATTACTTCACCAAGTTGCCAAGGGTGAAATGGCAACAGTCAGCATAAAGTATGGTGGAACCTAAAGGGGTAAACCCTTTTCCAAAAATCACCTTAAGAATCACACTGTGGGGCTGGGGCTGGGGCTCAGTGGGGCTCAGTGGTAGAGCACTCGCCTGGCACAATGAGGCACTGGGTTTGATCCTCAGCACCACATTAAAAATAATAATAATAATAATAAAATAAAGGGGCTGGGGATGTGGCTCAAGTGGTAGTGTGCTTGCCTGGCATGTGTGCGGCCCAAGTTCGATCCTCAGCACCCATACAAACAAAGATGTTGTGTCCGCCGAAAACTAAAAAAAAATAAATATTAAAAAAAATTCTTTCTCTTAAAAAAAAAATAATGGGGCTGGGGATGTGGCTCAAGCGGTAGCGCGCTCGCCTGGCATGCGTGCGGCCCGGGTTCGATCCTCAGCACCACATACAAACAAAGATGTTGTGTCCGCCAATAACTAAAAGAAATAAATATTAAAAAATTTTTTAAAAAATGAAATAAAGATATTGTGCCCACCTATAACTAAAAAATAAAATGTTAAAAATAATAATAATAATAATCACACTGTGGCCAGACGTGGTGGCGCACACCTGTTATCCCAGAGGCTCAGGAGGCTGAGACAGGAGGATCGTGAGTTCAAAGCCAGCCTCAGCAATGACAAGGTGCTTAGCAACTCCGTGAGACCCTATCTCTAAATAAAATACAAAATAGGGCTGGGAATGTGGCTCAGTGGTTGAGGGCCCCTGAGTTCAGTCCCTAGTACCCCCCCACCAAAAAAAAAAATCACATTGTGATTTGGGGTCACAGCAATCACAGGAAGACACAGGCCTGGGCCTTATAAAGGACTTTCTGTGTTATTAGGATGAAATATTTGTATGCAGTGAGGTCAGGCCATCCTCAAAGGGAATCCAAAAGCCTCTCTTCTGTGCAGAAGGGGAGAGGAGGGCCCCATGGTTTAAAATGGGAAAAGAAGGCCAAAGGACATTGCTTTCTATCTTTATTCTTATTTATTTGGGCATTTCTGCATTCAGTGAAAACCCCAAGGTTACTCTGGTTCAGGTAAGCTATAAATCAATGTTCATAACCCTACAATAAAGTTTTAAACCATCTTTTTCTTCATCGAAATCAAAACTACCTTCTTTGCCAGCTCCCAGCAAAGTTACCACTGACAAAGGCTGGCTGGAGGCCCCCGAAGGATCAGAGGTCTACACCATGTACAAGGCCTCACTTTGAGGGATCCAACACCACTAGGACCCGACTCAAAAGGTGAGGCAAAGGAACACTCCCCAAGACCTCTTACCGCTGCACACACTCCTTCACCACCTCATACTGGCCAATAGAGGCAGCTGTGTGAAGATCCAAGTGGACATCCAGTTCCTCCCGGCTGACCTGTGTGCCCAGCCCATGCCACATGGACAAGCTGCGGTTCAGGAACTCCGGCTCGCTGGCTTCATCACTGAGTTCGGACATGGCTGTGGAGGGAGGCCCAAGGGTTAGGTCTTACTTCTACCTGCAGTAGGCCACCAGCCACATCACTGCCCTGAGAGACCAAGAGCCCTGGCGACCACCCCCAAGACTTAGTTTTCTTTCATTAACCAGCAGCTCCAACATGCTGACACTGGTGAGCCTGCTGTCAGACTGAAAATGAGGTTAACTGTAGTGTACTTTCTCTTTAATTCACAGGACTCAGAGTCTAAAAGGGATTCTCCAGCAAGCTCCGGAAAACCCGAAAATCTCATAAATGGGTTATTTAAAAAAAAAAAAAATTAGCTGGGTCCTTTGACCCAATCAGTTCCTGGGAGTGATGGGAAAGAACTCTGTATTTGGGGTCACAGCAAAATTTAGCACGGTATGAGGCATCTCCAGTCCCTAATTCTTCACTGTCTGACAAGTACAGGATATGTCAAAGGGCTATTATTAAAATCACATGGAAGCTGGGTGCAATGGTGCACATTTGTAATCCCAGCAGCTCGGGAGGCTGAGGCAGAAGGATCGCGAGTTCAAAGCCAGCCTCAGCAACTTAGGGAGGCACTAAGCAACTCAGTGAGGGGGGAAAAGGATAAAAGGTGGCCATATCACCTTCAGATGTCCTAAAAGTACAATGGCAGCTCACAGAAGCCATTAGAACCTCAGTTTCTAAGGCAGGTGCAGTGGTGTAAACCCGTAATCCCAGTGGCTCAGGAAGCTGACACAGGAGGATCATAAGTTCAAAGGCAGCCTCACTAAGCAACTCAGTGAGATCCTGTGTCTAAATAAAATACAAAATAGGACTGAGGGTGCTGGGGTTGTGGTTTGGTGGTAGAACACCTGCCTAGAATGCGTGAGGCACTGGGTTCAACTGCAGCACATTTAAAAAAAAAAAAAAAAAAAAAACCTAAATAAACAATGTGGCTCAGTGGTTGAGTGCCCCTGAGTTCAACTGCCAGTATCAAAAAAAAAAAAAAGAACCTCAGCTTCTACTGAAGAATACTCCCAAGCATGCTAGCCTTCTTCCAAAAGTCAGTGACAAACAACAAACAAGCCACTCATCTGGGGTACAAAGACCCTGCATGCCCTTGACAAGAGCATATGCAAAGGTAATGGGGCAATGGGTCCTATCCTGGAACCACCACCTCCCCACACAAGCCAGCATGAAATCACACAGGCCTCACTCAGGCCTCTCACAGGCAAGTAAGAATCCTGATCCTGAACAGACCTAGTCAACAGAGCCTGGATAAGAATCCCAAAAAAGCTAAGTGCTAGTTCAGCGTCCCTTTTAATAGATCCCACCAGCCTTCTTTGGGTGTGTTCCTTCTACCTCAAAAGCTTCCTCCAGGCTGGGGGCTGCTGTCTCCCTATTGGATACTCACATCTGACACCTGCGAAGTGCAGAGCACTGATGGACAATAAGAAACAAACAACATCTCCAGGAGCCTATGCAGAATTCATAAGCCACAGAACTACAAATCTATTACGATTTATAACACATCACACATCACAGATGCTGCCCAATGTTGAGGAATACATCTCATGAATATCTGTATGCAGCCAGAAAATCTTTTGCTCCTCAATTCCAAAACTTCAGGAAATAGCACTGGGGATGGGACCTCTTTTGCAGTGCCGGGGATCAAACCACTCAAGGCCTCTACCATGCTCGCGTTCTACCACCTAGCTACATCCCGAGCCCCAAGACCTGATCCTGAGCTCAAGCAGATGATCGCGTCCACTCGGCGTTCAGAAAAGCCAAGACTACAGGTGCCCACCACGCTGGCTTTCATTCTCATTCCGCCTGTCCATTTTGTAAAATACTTAAATCTGTTACTTTTTTTTTTTTTTTGTAGATGGACAAAATACCTTTATTTATTTTATTTTTACGTGGTGCTGCGGAACGAACCCAGCGCCTCACATGTGCTAGGCAGGCGCTCTACCACCAAGTACAACCCCAGCCCAAATTTTAAATAAGGAATTTCAAAATCCTGAAGCTGGGGCTGCCACGCCACGGGAGGCGGTCGGTCCGTCCAGGAGCCCAGGGGCGACCCGGCGACAGCGCGCGCCCGCGGCCCTGGGGTTGCCCCACGCCTCCC